CAAGCAAGTGAGACCCAATGTTTTTCTTTTCCCACAGAACTGAAGGAGGGATCACGAAAGGGGCCACAGTTGGGGTCCTCCTCGACTTAAACAGAAAAACCTTGACATTTTTTGTCAACGATGAGCAGCAAGGCCCCATCGCCTTTGAGAATGTGGAAGGGGGCCTGTTCTTCCCTGCTGTCAGCCTAAACAGGAACGTGCAGGTAAGCGCCCTACCCCAGCGTGAAGCTGCCTCTGCCCACCACCGCCTGCCCTTCACTCATTCATTTAACAAATCTCTGTTGGATGCCTTATACAATGCCAGGCACTGTTAGAAGCATTTGGGACACATAGGTCAGAAAAAAATAATAATCTTACCATTATAGACCTTGCATGATAGTTCTAGGACAGACAATAAATAATAGCACAATTAGACATTGATTGTATGGTGTGTTAGAAGCTGATTAGTGCAATAGAGAAAAGACCATGGGTAGGGCAAGGGTGCAGGAGTGCTGGGGAGGGAAGTCGCAGTCTCAAACAGGATGGTTGTATAGGCCTTCCTGCAGATGCAGGGGAGCTGAGCCTACAAAGAAGGGAGGAGGGGAGCTGTGTGGCACTTACCAGGTAGAGGGAACAGCCTTGCAATGTTTCTAAACCATGAGGGGCCTCCCATGGCAAGGAAGGACAAAGAAGTCAGGGAATCACCGCCCTGCCAGCCACTGTCAGAACTTAGATTTCATTTCCCTCCTGAGCGGGGCCTCTCACAACCATGAGCCGCACTCAGCAGACGGCTGCCTCAAGATGGGGCTCAAGAATCAAAACCCTGCAGGAGATGGTTGCCCCACCCAGAAACAGAGTCTTAGAACCTATTACAATATCTATATTATTGGCTGTCAGTAAGTGCTGCCCAGTGACGCCTATATTTCTCTCTTCCTGCAAGGAGATAGGGTTGTCTGGGAGGCTGGAATCTTATCTTTCAGAGTTCAGGCTCTACATTAGGTGAAACAAAACAAACAGAAACATAATTTCCACAGAAGTGAATCTCAGAAAAACTGCATTAAAAGTTTAGCCATTTCCCTTTCGAAGAATCTTATACTAGAGGCTCGTTGGTGATTTTTCAGGGTAAAGACTCGGGCAGGGGAAGACAGGGACAAAGTGTAAATGACAGTGCATGTGTCGTGTGACATGGTTCAGCACTGTCCACGCAGCTGTCCATCAAGGTTTGCAGTTGGGCAGAAGTTGGTGACAAGCATAAGACCACATTGCATCAGAACTGGCCACCTTGGGCAGTGCCTGTGGCTCAAAGGAGTAGAGTGCCAGCCCCATATACTGGAGGTGGCAGATTCAAACCCAGCCCCAGCCAAAAAAAAGAACTGGCTGCCATGTGCCCAAACCCAGAGAGGAAGGGTTGCCCCGGCAGGACAACCAGGAGACACCTGATAAGGGAAGGGCTGTCTTTGTTCATCTGTTCCCTGCCCGTGGACGTGGCAGTGGTTACTGTGGTGTGGCTGACAGGCATCACTACCCCCAAATCATATCTGTAGGTAGGGCACTGGCCACATACACCGAGGCCAGTGTGTTCAAACCCAGCCCAGGTAAAACAACGACAACTGCAACAAGAAAAAAAGAGAATAGCTGGGTGTTGTGGCTGGCGCCTGTAGTCCCAGCTACTTGGGAGGCTGAAGCAAGAGAATTACTTAAGCCCAAGAATTTGAGGTTGTGGTGAGCTCTGATGCTACGGCACTCTACCGAGGGCGACGTATGTGTCAGTCGAAAGGAACACAATCCCCCCAGAATCCTTTAAAAGAGGTGTCCAAGAACCATGTAGTCAAGTGTCACCAAGATTTGGAAGCACACCATAGTGGCCAGGCTCTTACCACAGGCAGGATTCTGCTAGAATTCTCTCGAATGTTTCTAAGTGTAGATTTTAAAAAGAGGTTAGAAACACACCTGCTGTGCGCTATATTTGGGGGCTGGGGGGGGGACGGGCTTCCTCCCAGGACTCACAGTCTCCTTCCCCAGGTCACGCTTCACACCGGGCTCCCGGTCCCCGACTTCTACTCCAGCAGAGCCTCAATAGCCTAAGGATGTGCCCTGCAGGTGCCAGCTGCCTGTTCTTACCTCCGCCTGAGAGGGGACAGCCAGGAGCCCAGCCGATGGGATCAGGAGGAGGTAAAAGCTGGTCCTCTACAGCCTCACAGCCACAGCTCTGCCCCTTGTCCTTCCAGTCCTCTCTGCTGTCACACCACATGGACATCACGTCCAGCAATGCTAACCCGCAGAGGACCTGGACAGCCTACCCTTCCTTGTCACTTCCTAGCCACTCCCAAATTTTGCTTTTATTTCACTTAATTTTTTATGTAGGTGATTTACATTATGTTTCTTTTCTGATTGGGTTATTGGTGACCTAGTGAACTGTCACTGCTGAGAGAAAACTTCTGCTAACTTTTTCTTAAGCTTTGTCAAGCAGCAGAGTTAGAGGGGAGGGATGAGCTGAATTTGGAGCTTACAGCTCCCCTCCGAGGGTGTCCTCGCCGTGTTCCTCTCCTGCAATGTGTCAGCTCTGCCCAGCTCACCTATGCGGGCTGGGCACAGTGACTTTAGTATTGACAAGTTTTACTGCCCATTGAAGCACAAAAATATCAGCTCCACAGGTTCACGGCAGGGTAGGCTCGTTAGGGTGGCCCTATCACTAGGTCAAGTCAGAAGCCCTGGCCACTGTACAAAATGAGAGTCTCTGGACATAGGCTAACCAGGGCACTTGCTAATTTGGTTCCTTTAGTATAAACTTTTCACTGAGAAGCTACTACGGACCAGGCACTGTTCTAGACACCAGAACACTGTATTCTAGACACTGTGGGGACACAGGTGGACAGACAGGCATGTCTCTGCCCTTCTGAAGTTTATATTCTAGCAGGAGAACAAGGCAAAAATAAAATAATTACAAATTATCATATGTACTAGAAACGAAATAGGTGAGGGTCAAAGGGACTCATTGCAGAATCTTTCAGGTTTCCTAGAATGATGCTAAAAACCCACATGTTCTGGCCAGAGCACCGGAAAGGTGCCCACTCCATGCCTTTTCAACTGTGCTACTCTCATCATGGCACCTGCTGCCAGCACATCACAGAGCCCTTCACTGGTAGAAACGATGTTGACATCCTTATTTGCTAATGCTGCAATGATACTAAGCCTTAAAAACAGATCATTAAATAAAAATAATGAGCGGAAGGCAGAGGATCCATTCTCAGTAACGGGGATACTGAGTTGCAGTCCACAGCACCCACATCTCAGGATAAACATGCCTGTCTCCACGGAGACTGTGCCTGTTCCCCATGACACCCCATCCACTCGGCGGCTGCTCACAGCCTGGCCTGTGGGACTAGTCCAGATGCTGTTGGGGGAAACATGGGAGTGTCTGTCATCATCACTGACAGCAGGACAGCGACGCACACGTCATCTGCATAGAGATGGACCCATCTAAGTTACTCTCCAGATTCTTTAGTTTGATGTGAAGTTTTAGGAAAGGTAGGACCTGGAAAGAAGTTCTTATAGTTGTCTAAATATTTTCCAGTGTGCCAAGAAATTCACCATGAAAATCAAGAAAAATAAAAGAGAGAGGATGGGAAAGCTAACAAAAGTTTGGTAAAAGGTAGTGTATGTAAATAGCTCATTATTTACCTGTGCGCTTACTTTATGTAGATGATTTCTATCAGTTCCAATCAGATTTTCTAGTTAATTGTACTAATTTATTGACTGGGTGCTATCCTGTTGACGTCCATCTCAGTTCTCCTTGGCTACAGGGAAACTCAGTAGCAGGGCAACACTACTTCCATATTTGATTTACTCTCCCCGGAGACGCGATGGCTGGGCCGCTGTAGACTCACTCTTGTCCTTTATTAAATTCCTCCTGCTGATTAGATTTCTAGTGACTTATAACACGTAGTTTACACTGAATCGCAATTATAGATGCCTACAGCTGCTGTACTAGAAAAAAGTTGTCATTTCTGGTGTGCCAATAAATGATTTTTATGAGCGAACAAAATGTCTCTTTGGAATTTTGGTTTTTACCTATTTGGGGTGACAATTCATCTTTGCCAGAACAATCTTTCTTCAGCGAAGTGTAACAGCAGAGTCCCCCAGAGCTTGTGAAAACCCAGGCTCTTTGCCCCATTTCCTTCAGAGCCTGGTACTGTCTGCTGGTTTTACTTCTCCCCTGAGCCCGGATTTGATGTCAAATTTCCACATTTTAGAGGCAGTCGTATATGTAAATAGCTAATTATTTACAGTCTTCCCTCAGCACTGAGGACTCCCCGAAGCCACAAACTTGACCTACAAAATGTAGTGTCACTGACTTTTTCAAACCTGGATCTTTTCATATTTCTTTGAATGGTTCAATCATCAAAGTTGTTTTAAAATAATTACAACACTATTTATCTCCCTGATGTTGTGATTAGCCTTTTAAAATGAACCTTTTTATTAAAAGAAAAGCCTGACCTAAAAGTCTGTGATCTGGGTTATAACCCCACCGAGTACGACAACGCTGTTGGTGACGGCTGCTCCTCACTCCCGTTTCTGCCCTGTCCTCTTCCCTAACTCTGCGGAGATGCTTTTTTTCCTTCTTCCTCTGTTGGCTCCACTTCTACCCCTCCTCCGTTCTCTGCCTAATGGAACACATCACACATTTTTGCTCTTATTGTGGTACTGAGGTTAATGGAAACTCTGATCCCCATAATTTCCTCGTAGGAGTGATTAAGTGACTTGTAAGAAACCATCCTATTTTCTAGAAATGAGAGCCTTTTTCTCCCTTGCCTCTAAAGTGGACATTACTCTTGAACCCAACTATTCAACTCTTTGATAAGAGGGGAGGGCTTGCTGCTGAGTCAGGATTTCTAATTATGAATCAAGGGAAATGTGTGCTAATTAAACAAACAAGTTCTGAGGTCCTACTACCTTATAATTTATATAAATGCATCAAGGACACCTCTGTGTATTCCTCAGATGTGTGTCCCAGGTACTGCCCCGGAGACTGGTGTTTAGGGAAGTGTGGATCTGATGTACTACATCACATATAAATGAGGCTACCTAAATCTTGCATTTATTTGAAGAACAAGCTTTTTGGACAAATGCAGAATTTAGAGAACTGAACTCAATGCACAGAAACATCAATCTGGACCTCTTTATCCATTGCTTCTCTGCCCTGCGGCAGCTGAGATGAGAAAATCTACAGAAATAGGTGTCTAAGGGGGGCTTACCTGGGAGAAAAAGAATGACCAACATTTATCAAATTTCCATTAGAGAAGCAGAGATCACAGAATTACACAGTGGTGATGGTTGCATAATTTTGTGAATATGCTAAAAACCACTGAAAAGTGTACTTTCAGAGAACAAATCACGTGGCATGTAAATTACCACTCAATCCAAAAAAAAAAAAAAAAAGCAGAGAGAGAGAGAAAGTTTCCTTTACATGCTCAAGGATCTCCGGAGTTGGAAGCAAAGTGCACAGAGGCCATCAGGAGCCCTGTCTTGGGCCCTGCAGGCCAGATGCTGCCCTCTGCCAAGGCCATGCTGCAGCATGGCCACCATGGGGCCATGTCTGACCAGACCCCAAGGCTGAGGAGGTCTCTTTCTACAGCTTCCTTCAAACTACCCCAAACAGTCTATGCCTGCTTCCTTCCTCATAGCTATCCAGATATTTCCGCAGCCCCATCCTCTGAAATAAAGCACAAAGCACAGAGGGAGGGTGTCCAGACCTGGGATATGACCTCCTAACCCTGACCTTCCTTCCCCACACCCACCGTCCCTTCATAAATGGTAGGGCTATACTTCCTCTTCCTGCTTGCTGGGGACTCCCTCAACCTTCCTGAAACAGACTTCAACCTGCCCCTTCCCTGAGGGCCACAGTGGAGGAGAGATCGGGAGAACTGGCTGCCACTAAGGGAGCAACTCAAATTATCAGCAGGTCCCCACCCTCAGCAGTGGAGAATCTGCTCACAGATGGTTTTCCTTCTCCCATCAGATAAAAATAAACATTCTGTGTAATATCTAACAGGGTTAATATTTGAGTTGGTGTTCTTGCCTTTTTTCATCTCAATTTTTTTTAGAATTCTCTAATAACCAATAATAATAAGCAATTAATAAATGCACTGAAGGTTCCATTTTAAAACCTATTAACTTACAAACCAATATAGTTTAATGTCTGACTATGATTTTTGATGTGCATGGGAACCACAAAGGCAGTGAAACCCCCCAGGGGGGAAAGCTTCACGAAGGTCTGAGCCGGGGGCTCCGCAGCCTGGCTAATGAGGACAGTGTGTTCTGTGTGACTTTGTGTGTGTTCTGCGCAACAAAAGAGGCATAAAGCCAGATAAAGCATGTACATGTGCTTTGTGTGGTAAAGAGTAAAGAGACATTAGGTGTTAAGTATTAATTATTAAGTAGCCTCTACCCTCTGCACGCTGAGCCAACCCAGAGAGGAACACAGCCCAACGAGGGGCCCCACAGGATCTGCCCTCATGGCCTCAGTTCTGGTCCTGGTTCTAGGGAGCAGCCACCATGTGTCCTCAGGCAAGCAATGAAAACTCACCCATAGTTTCTGCATCTCTAGGGTGGAGATGTCTGAGATCGCTTTGAAGGTTAATATCAAATAATAGAACATAAAAGGCTAAGAACAGTGGCATGTAATGAGTGCCACACTGGTGTTTAATCTGTGTGCAGTCTATTAATGGTTAACAAGATCCCCACGGCACGTCAATAAAGGTTTTACTGTCGTCATCTCCTTGGGAAACGATACCTTTCTTTGGAAACTGACAAAATATTGTTAAATTCTTCTGCAAAAATTAATGGAAGAGTGAAAGTAAGTCTCAGAAAAAGCAGTAATCTGACTCGTATGACACCTTACGATCAATTTCAAGGTGATATTAATTAAAATAGTATAGTATTACTACGACCAACTACAGGATAACTTTTAATACTATTGAACAGATGATCACAAAGGAGGAGATGAAGATTATTTTTAAATGGTAAAAGATATTATTCAGAAACTGGTTTACTATTTGGGAAGCAAAATTATGTTCTTAATCTTA